CAATAACCGCAAATTATATCGGGATATTGTGCTCCAATATCCTGTTGTATACCAATAACCGCATACTATATCGGGATATTGTGCTCCGATATGAATTCCCGTCGTGCGTATTGGATTAATCGGATAACAATAAGTTTTTATTGGTTTCCATCAACTTCATTGAAATACAATATTTCTAATAATCCGAGTTCATATTGGCCTTTTTCAATAGGGATGGACTACAAAAGGAGAAAGAATGGACAAGCCCTCAACTTCTGCCGACAACCGTGCTACGCCACTATCGGTACCGGAAACTTTTCGCATCTCGCCACCGGAAGCCTTCAGTTTTACAACACCTAACGAATGGCCGGCGTGGAAGAAAGATTCAAGCTCTTCCACAGTGCATCAGGACTGGCATCTCAACCATCATCACACCAAGTCGACGCTCTCATTTACATCATGGGACCACAAGCTAAAGACGTCCGTTCCCACGCTTCGCGCTTAACTTGAGCGCCCCGCACACGAGGAGTCTTTCTTTTATTTCGTTTTATATTTAATAAACGAGACCTCAGTCTGCAGCCTGACTCCAGAACAAAAGGTTGTCTGTGTGTTCTCTTCGCCAAAGAACGTAAAACAAAACATGGTGTCAGAAGTGAGATCGCTCCGCGAGTCTGCTAATAATTAGTAAAGCGCAGGATCGACTTCAAAAGAAGCAAGAATGGACAAGCCCTCAACTTCTGCCGACAACGGTGCTACACAACAATCGGTAACAGCAACTTTTCGCATCTCGCCACCCGAAGCCTTCAGTTTTACAACAACTAACGAATGGCCGGCGTGGAGGATAAGATTCAAGCGCTTCCACAGTGCATCAGGACCGGCATCTCAACCATCATCACACCAAGTCGACGCTCTCATTTACAGCATGGGACCAGAAGCTAAAGACGTCCGATTCCACGCTTCGCGCTCAATTTGAGCGCCCCGCACCAGAGGAGTCCTTCTTTTATTTCGTTTTATATTTAATAAACGAAACCTCTGTCTTCAGCTTGACTCCGGCACGAAAGGTTGTCTGTGTGTTCTCTTCGCCAAAGAACGTAAGACGAAACAGTATAATTGAGCAAAGGATTCACACTCGTGTAGACGGCATACTCCAGTCATTCCGTGTGCGTTCGTCATGCCTTTGTCGTCTCCAGCAGGTATTTCAGACCTCTCGAGGACCGGAAGTTGCCATCGCAAATATTTCAGAAACATCCGATTCTCGGCCAACTTCTGTCGTGGTAAGTGTGAAATCTAGGCTCCCAATATCTATTATTTTTAGACGTTAAAATTCCAGGTCCGATATTTTACCGATCGTCCTTTCTGAGCGAAATTCCGTCCCATGTATTTGTCCATAACGACGCCCCTAGTAAAGATTTGTTTGAAGCGATGACGTCACATAAGGTCAATTGGCAGCTTCGCAACTGAGCTAATCTAGTAACGTTGACTTTTATGTGTGTTGATGCTACGTGACCTATACTCGACCGCTCCTTAATGAGGCCCTGCAATCATATTTAAGCGTCTACCTTTTTTTGCGGTTTTCACGTCTCTTGGGGTTCGGGCAAGCCAGCGGGCACGGAGAGAGCAGACTTGGGAAGTAATCAGTTACTTTTTATGTAATTTTGTAAGTGCCACGTTATTTTTTATGGAAAGAAATTTGTAATGAAATTTCGTTAAAAATAATTGCTAACGAAAATATTAAGGTGGGCTAGTTGGATATGCATTTTTCGAAATAAATGCTAACGTATTTAATTACTACGTTAGTTTTTTTTTAAATAAGAGCATATTACAGTAACTGGAGCAATAGGAACTGAAAATTCAGCATCATAAACAGAGCAAGTTCAGCAAAATAGAAAACATCAGGAAGGGAAGAATAGCCGAAAAGAAAACACGAGTTTTTGTATAACCGGTTACTAGAACAAAAAAAAAATGGGCAGGGCAAAAAAAAAATTGTAAGTGTGCAGGCGAGCTGGTGAATATTAACCATGTTGAATTAACCTGAGACTGGCAGAGAAGAAACATCAAAACGTAGAATACCTTCCACGTTTTGATGTTTCTTCTCTACCCCAGTCTCAGGTTAATTCAATATGGGCAGGGCATGCACAAATATACGAAAGACAAAGATCAAGTAAGGCAACGCGGAGAAGGCTCTCCGTCGCCCTCCATCCTGTTTTTCTTCTTCTGCGCAGCGGAAAGCTCTTCGTGTTTATTTTTTTTTCGTCTTTTACACCGTTTCACACTTTCCAAGCTTTTCGACGTCTCCCGCCACCTGCACATACATCAAAGGCGAGTCCGTAAGCCCCCCCCCCCCCCCCCCCCCCCCCTTTCCGATCTGGGGGTTCACAACTCACGTAACAGACGATGTAGCCTCGTGCGAAGAAGTCAAATTCTTTTTGTCTTTGATGTAGGCTACTTTATTTTAGCACGCTCTGGAGGCATGGCTGAAGAGCGCCCGGTGCGAGCCTAAGAGCATCGTTTTTGAGGGTACGAACGATACTTCTTTTGGTTTGCTTGTCTTGACATGGTGGTCGAGTCCACTCCTCACTTTACAGTCAACTGCCAACGTAAAGGGGGAGGGTGGGGGGAGGTTAGTCCATCTAGGAGTGGTGACAGAGAGAGAGAGAAAGACAGAACGCGTAAAAGCGGTGTGACATTCTATTGTTGTTGTTTTTTTTTGAGACCGGTGGCCACCGCTGCTTTCGCTCTCTATGCCTTTTTTTCCCCCTGGCCTCCACGAATATTGGTATGAAAGTGAGACCCGATGAAAGATCGATAACCCGTAACCACCACTTTTTCTCTGACTGGTCGAGTTTTAGATCATGAAGTTTCCATCGTCTCCATGACCAACTCTTAATGAGATGTTCGAAATTCAGGAGAACGGAAACCTAGATTTTCAGTGCATACATTGCTCGCCAAAAAACACGCATTGTCATCAGCAAGAAAAACGAACTCTAATCTACGGAAACACATCAAGGTAAGCTGGGACACCTGCATTCTAAATTCGCTATACATTCTAACGTTAGAACCAAATGTTTCTTTTCTTGTGAATAACGGGCGAAACACCCGAGTAAAGAGGGAGCTTTCGTAGATCGCGTCTTTAGCTCCGAATCTAGTAGCAGAGGTAGACGCTGCTACTGAGCATGCGCACCGCTAGGTTTGTCTGCACAATTCCATGGATCATTTCCGGAGGCCTTAAGCTAGCGGGATTGCGTGTGTGGTTGCCGGTTTCGGTGCCTTGTCAGCTTATAGGTGAACGAAGTGCACGTACACTCTTTCCCTTAAATACAATATTTTATATTTACAAGGACTACGATTATACGGGTGTATGAGAAATGAAAAGTAGTGTTGCAGAACATTTTTGAAAAATATCAAACTTGTTTCAGTTGTTTCCTGGGTAAGTGTACGGAAAAAGTAACGTGAAAGTAATTTGTAACGTAACGAGTAAAGTAATCCGTTACTTTTCAGCGAAAGTAATTTGTAACTGCAATCCATTACATTTGAGGCTCGGTAATTTGTAATTGTAATTCATTTCATTTTTCAAGTAACGAGCACAAGTCTCGGAGAAAGTAACTAAAAATCAGTGCGTCATATTTTAACCGGACGACACGGAAACCTCCTCCACCTACGGGGGCGACGCGCGGTGCCGAAAGCGCGCGTAATGTAGTCTGTTGTCCTGGGCTTACTACTGGTGAGAGGCGCTAAAAGCTTCGAAATACAAAATATAAGTGGCGCGAACCGTTTCCAATATTTATAAAAGTAGTTTTTGTTCAGTATTTTAGATCGAAAAAAAAGAAAACAAAAACAAATGCAGCTTATAAAGTACGGAAACAAGAAATGACCCGTCGACATACCCGCCACTACGCGGTGCAAAAGGCGACGTATACAAGAACGGTGCAGTGCGATCAGGCACCGAGGGGCGGCGAGCGTAGAAAGGTCCCGGATGTAACCGGCGGCGCTGCAGTCGTATACGGGCTCGAGGATCCGACCGGTTTCGAGCGCTCCGAAGGCCTTCGCCGAGAAGGTTTGGCTTGCGGTTTGGCCGGTTGGCAGTATGGCAGCGCGAAGTGGCTCCCGTTCTGAATTGATCTTTACCCCGTGTTTGCTGTCGTTTCTGACCCACGAAGTGTCATGCCGAATTAGTGTTTAATCGCACCGCAAATGCAATGCGAGCCGCCCTGGCTGCCCGCTTCAAACAGCCTATCTAAACATGCTTTAGTGGCGCCTTCTCCAGCCGTCTACACTTAGCGCGGCAGCCGTGAGCGCTCGCTGAGCTCACTACCCTTCCTCTAGTTCACGGGCACTTAAGCAACCAAGGGCGTCATGGAGGAGGTTACTTTCTGCTTGTTTTTTGTAATCTTATTTTGCCTATAACTTTTGAAATAAAGCGAAATTCGAAAAAAGGAAAGATTTATTAAGATACTACGTTCAGTGCGCTCAGGTTCGGTGCAAGTTAGAAGTCAGAAAAAAAAAACAAGAGAGAAGGTTTCCTTCTCTCCTTTCCAGCATTTCGTTTGCTTCCTCCGCCCCACCCCTCATTTCCTTCGAATACTTTTCTTCATCTGCAACTGACTATACCAGAGATTAAATTTAATAAAACGCGATGACAAACAAAAATCCCAATAACTTCGGGAATATATTTGTTTCCGTTAGAATTTTGTAACTAGATCAGCGAAATCTTGTGCTACATTGAGCCAGTTTTAACGGTAATTAACGAGCATAAAAAATGAAAACGGCGGAGCACCAGCGGACCCTAAACATTTTCTTACCTCACAGATAATCTGGACAACAGGCGGATGACACGCAATTAAAAATATATATTTTGAGAGCCCATTTTATTGCACGGCTGTGCTTTTGAAGGAGCATCACTCATAAGGACGTAAACACATATATTGCTTCGAATATGGTTTATTAGTTAGGAAAACCTTTTCTAAATATTTACCAAGTGCGGCGAAGGAAGTTCAAATAACATCTCTTCAGATGCGGTCTGTTCACAATCTATGAACCGCACCAATAAAGAGGATTCGATTTTGGACGGTGTCAGAGATGAGAAACAGAAAAGGGTGGTCGACGTGAACATTCAGAGCCTCTGGAGAGCTGAGGCTTTCAAATACAACCTTGACTTCCGTAACAGCGGCTGCGACAGTCCCTTCTTCGCTCACATCCACCATAGCTTTGTGCACAACATCGGACACTTTGAGCTTCCCATAACTTGAGATCCCCGATAGGTCAGACCGATTGCTGAATATGGATATTAAGCCCAGCCCCTTCAACGCATCCACAAGCTTGTAGCTTGTTCTTAGCTCGAACTTCGGGAGTCTGAGTTCCACTTCGTGCGGAGACAGTTTCTTCTGAAGAGTCAGAAGTGTTCTGACAGAGAGGGCTCCTATGAGCTGAGGAAGTCCGATCCTGTCGTTTGGAAGAACAATGACCATGCTGTATCTGTGCCCGGAGTATGGAAGCTGAACGGCTTGAGACTTGAGCTCGGGTAGCGTACAATAGTTTATCGTGCTCAAGCGTGCCATTGTTTTCACCTGGACAGGTTCGATGCCTCCATTGTAGAACGGAAAATGAGCTGTTTGATTGGTGTCGAAAGCGTTCTCCCAAGAGCCTTTGAAATATATAGCATTTATGAGGACCATCACTGCCTCGCGTAAGGAACCTTCGCTAACGATATCGGAAATTTTGCCTTTTGTCTTCGTCTTGACCCATTGGTTAATTTCCGGCACAACGTTTTTCAGATTGTTCTCAAAATCAACAGACCGAACCTCGGCACCAAACGTCTCAGCCAGGTCCCGCTTGTAGCTCTCGAGAAGTCTAAGCCTTTTATCGACCAGAGCTGCGTTGGCTATCTTCAGGGTCACGTTGGGCGACTGGAGGTCATTCAGGTACGTCCTGTACGCCCCGAGAACGGCGTCCCGCGTCGTGATTTGTGCCCTGCTTAGGCCTAGGACAGTCTCAAGTTCCGCGGCAGACGTACCCTTTGCACCAGCGTAAACCATGGTCAGCGCTGCGAAGATGCTGCTTGGGGAGAAGAAGATGTTTTCTTGAGGCTTCCTGGTAGAGCACAGTTCCTTGAGAAGTGTTAAACCGAACTCTGAGCTTGCCCTGGCGAGTTTAGGATCGTCGCTCTGAGTACTAACGTGCCCAGCAGCCGCTAGCACCGTAATCAAGACTATAAGTGCACTCCGGGGAGACATCGCTGAAGAAGTGAGAATGCGTTAAGATTTCTGGAGCTTTTATACCCGCACAGGCGGATTGAAAACCAAGATCAAAACATACCACCACAATCAAGTCGGCTCCTTTTGATAAAGAATTATCCCCATAAACGCCATTGTATTGCTCGAAAAATGGTGGACACTGAGTGGGATTTTCGCAAACCATTTTGCGTGTGTTGTACTCCTCACGCTTTGGGATTTCGGTCTTGTAGGTTTTGTTTCTATAAAAGGTAATTTAACTTTTCGAAGTTGATTCGCTCGTCTAGTAATAAAATTATATTGTATAACTGTGCGTATAAAGAGCTTAGTTTAGCAGGAAAATTGCGCGGCGCTTGTGAAGTAACAGTTATTTAGTGTTCGTGAGATGTCTTTTATAAAGTTGGATAGCCGCGGTTTGATAAGGGTCGTTATTTATTCTTCTCTGCCGCGTGAGTTTTATTTGTAATCAAAATTACAAATGACGTTTTATATTCCAAAAACAACGCAATAAAAAAGAGTGTGCTGGTTTTAATACAAAAATGAATACAAATAAACAAAACATTTTGTTACCTTCTCTCTAGTTATTTTTCTTTAAAAACCACGTTGCATTGTTTGCCGGTGCGTCTCTAGTGCAGTAATGTCTCGTTATTTTTAACAAAAAAAGAATCCGTTTGGTATTTATCATTATTTGGCATATGTTTCGTTATATGAGGACAGGTCTACAGCTTTCGATGGAACACACAAATATTGTCTACGTGTGATCTCGCTCTAGGGGAAGCGTGTAACGTTCTCGATAGATTTGAATGAGGGGCACGTGGGCGACGTTGACTGGGGTAACCCCTGCAGTACCCTCGTGGGCCCCACGTCGGTGCGACGCGGGCATGCCCATTTTGGGCTGCCCACGCAATACCGTCGTATTTTCACCCCCGTTATGCGAAGGCAAAGTTAACGTAGATATCGGCCAAGCAAGGACACGCCCACTTGGTCTGCCTCCGCAGTACCGTCATAGGTAAAAGTTCGGCTAGGAAGGGGCCATGCTCACCTTGGGCTGCCCGGGCAGTTCCCCCGTGGGTCTCGCATGCGCTATTAGCCCCGAGAAGTTCGCGTGGCGCCCCCATACGGCAAACCGGGGTGACGTCATGGCGAGGGGAGAATTTTTCCCCGACTCGCCTCGCTCGCCCTGTGGAGGCTGTGACGACGCTAGCTGTCGGCGCGCTCGTTTCTATTTAATTTTTTTGGCGTGTTTTTCGTAGGAAGTGTAAATTTTTATATGGGCCTTTATTAAGGTATGGCCTGTAGCTACAGGCGATACTTCAACCAACATTTTAAGCATGGTTGACAGGGCAGGCAACGCATGAATCAGAGCTGGTATATGAAAATAAGGAAATATGGCCACAATTTCAGGAGCATCACTATAGATTTACGTCTCGCGCAATAAATGCTGCTGATGGTCTGAATGAATTGGCAGGTTATGTATACTATTTCTTTTGTATCTCTGCTTTTAAACAAGATAGCCGAAGCAAAAAAAGCTGCATGCTGCTCGAGCAACATGCTAAATACAGTCTGGGCCACCCTGTTGGAAAATATCGATGATGGAAAGATGACGGAAAAGGCTCATACAAGCGTAACCGTAATATGGGACATCCTATACAAGCGAAAAAGGCGGCTCCAGTATAGTGGAATAAGGCGGAACCATACAGGTGGGCGGAACCATACAAGCGTGTCGTATTATGGGACATCCTATACCAGCGTAGTGGATTAAGGCGGAACCATGGAGGTGGACGGAACCATACATGCATAACGTAATATGGGACATCCTATACCAGCAAAAAGGCGATACCAGCATGGTGGAGCCATATGGCTCCATCATGTTGGTTTCGCCTTTTCACTGTTGTACAGGGCGATTTAGTTTTAAGCTTTACATATATGTTTAAAAAGGTCGTGAAAGCTAAATTAATGCGGTTTGTGCAGGCGAGTTATACGGCCAGGCGTACGTAGTATAGGGACCTAGTCGTAACGATCAGTCAGATAATTAAATACAATTTGTTAATCAACTTTTTAATTTGCGAAAATGAAAATATGGTTTCAATTAGAAACTTGCTGAGTCATTGAAAACCACAAAATCAAGTTTTTTTAGAAGGTAATAATGCAGGGGTAGCGTTTTATGCGTTCTGTAAAAAGCTTTATTTGGATGAGTTTCTAGGTTTCAGTTTCTTATCAGAGCTCATCTCTGCGCCCACGGTCCTGTTCCCCAGGGGCTTAGACACGCAACACACGTGCGCCTTGCTTCCCTTCATCCTACGAGGGAGGCGAGGGGGCGGCTTCGCACTGTGGCCACTGGGCAGCTGGACCGCAGGTGCAAAGATGCGCTCTGGTAAGAAACCGAAGTCTGGAAACGCGTCCAAATTGACCATTTTTTTTAGAACGCCATAAAATGCTACTCTTGTCTTATATCTTTACAAAGAAAATTGATTTAGTGTGTTTTGATGATGCTTAGCAAGTTTCTAATTGGAACCATGGGTCTATTTTCACTGATTAAAAATTTCAGGAACATACTAGGAGAGGCTGAAGCGGTTTTGTATTTGAGAAAACACTTTTAAATCTTCTTCATTTGACCTCCAGAATCTCAAATATCAAAATTATTTGCTAATTTAATTAATTGAGGCTGCATAGAGTCATTTTTAAAGCGCTGTGAAAGCACTTCCCTAGAGAGCGACGTCACAAGAGCAGCTTTCAAAATCTTTGTTCACGCATCTTCAGCGCCTATCAAAGCTATGCACGCACATGCTATTTTTTAAAAGGGCAGAAAAATGTGTCACAACTGGTGCCAATGCCGGAGAATATACCTAGAAAACTTGCGATTGGACGAGCGGCCCTTAAGCGACACACGCTTGGCGGCCGAAAGGTCTTCTTACGATGTCACTGTTGGTAGGATGTTTTTGTGTGTTTTCTGACGTTTAGTTATATCTTTGAGGAAAACGAACGGGATATTCAGATTCGCGGGATAAAACTACGCTAGAATGAACCTCCATCTAGTTTTCTGAAAGAAGTCTGGCACATCTCTGTAATAAGCCGACGGACCATTACAAATTAGCCTTTTATACTGTGCCGCCCTGGCCATATAACTCACGTGCACAGACCGTGTAAATGTAGCTTTTACGGCTTTTTTTAAAAAAATCTGTAAAACATAGAAAAAAACACTCTGTAGAATGTCCCCCAATACGATACGATTGTATGGTTCTTTCCCCGCTTGCATTGTTCAAGAAAGACTTGTGGACATCCAGCATTTCATTGGAATGCTGGATGTCAGCGAGTCTCTACATCAGTGAGTGGTTTCAAACAAGCATGATGTTTGCACACCAGTAAGCTCTTATCCGAGGCTCACCAGGAGCACTAAGAGCAGAGGCGAAATGTCGTGACCTGGTAAATTTGGTTGCAGGTATTTATTTTTACAAGAACTGCATGCAGCAAAGCTTAACTTTGCTCAAAAGAAGATTATTAAAAATTCAATACTGAACAATGGTGTCCCTTGAGCTGTCAGACCAAACTCCCACTCTTGCCGCTCAGGAGTTCCTAACTTGTGCGTAGAGGATCAGCACAACCCAGATTTGTGCTGCGAGCGCACCTGCAATATAAAAGTTGAATAAACATGAGATGAAATATGAGACGTTTACAATTCTCTGTAACGTGAAATTAGAGCACAGATCTTGAAGAGGAGGATGGGAGGGTATGCCCCTCCTCCCCCTCCCCTCCTCCTCTTCTGCTCCCTCCCATTTAGCGGGAAATTTCCCTGAATTTAGCGGGAAAATTTCCCCACTAAATTTAGCTGGTTAAGTTTCCCCCTAAATTTAGCGCAGAAATTGATGTCACATGACCTCAACACAAATGCAGTTTTTCCGCTAATGTAGCGGGGAAAATGACGTCGCATGACCGTGTCACGTCATCCATAAAAAAATTCAGTTTCTCAGCTAGACTTAGCGGAAATATTAACGTCACATGACCACAACATTAATTCAATTTCCTGCCAAGTTTAGTTGGGCGGTTACGCCGACAGCGACGCCGCAAAACGCGGAAACGGGTGCTAAGAGCTGCGCTAAAAACTAAATGCATCAGGTGAAATAAAGTGAACATTAGAGATACTGTAAGAAAAAGAAGAGAATCTAAGATACCGTTCTCAGATCCTTCCTTTTGTCCGTTCTCAAATGTATTGATTTCAAGAAATGTTTATCTCTTTATTCATACCCAGAGAACCCCTCCCAGTTTCAGCATGAATGCAATAAATCAATGCAGACTAGACCTTGTAAACTATAATCCACATGAAAATGAATGTTTGCCACATAGTCATGTATGAGTCAGTAGCTCAGATCTCTAAATACATTTGTATTGAGGAACATTCTTGAATAAAACTTCTGGGCTTCGAATTCAACAGTTTGTACTTCCATAAGGAACACTGTATGGCACTGATTTCTTTTTTTTTTTTTTGTGACACATCAGAAACAGCACAGCACTGTCATCCTCGCATACCTAACAAGAATTTGTATTTTTTTTTTTTAGCATGGCATGTACTATTCTAATGCTCATACAGCATCCTTTAACAAAATTTCCTTTGTAGAGCTTTTTATTGGTTCTTATTTAGCTCGCACGACAGATTCGGTACCTTGAATTCTCACTTGGCATCAACAGTTTTATATATTAATGTAATAGCGAAAGACAAGATGTATGAACTTGAGTACGGCTCAGCAAGCACAGATGTTGAGAAAAGTACTGAAGAAAACTCAAATGTCAAAATAAAAATAAGCTGGAATGTGGATACAATTATGGACATGGTCATGAATACAGTTAGCAGATTCAATATGAAGAATATGTGTTAGATGCACACTCAAAGAAACCTGTTGCATCTATATTCATTCAAATTACTTTGCAGAACCCAGCGCTGCAGTCTCAGGTGGGAGTTCGCTGAATGAGTCTACTGAAAATGAGTGTAGACGAAAAAGCAGTTTGAT